TTGGGAATGGAATAACCTCACCTGGAAAAAAACTGCACACTGTCCTTTCTTGGGAGATGGCTGGTCCCCAGTCCCACACCTGTTCACATCCCCTCCTATCGCTATGAGGCTGGGCTGGGCTGGGCTGGCCAGGCCACTGGTGATGGGCTGGCTTGGCATCCTTCCTCCTCGGTGCTAACACACTAAAACTAAGAAAGGGGCCAGAACAGCATGAGGTTGCAGTCAGGGGTCAGGCTCCAATATGGAAGAAAAGCAAGATGGTACAGCAGGAGCAGACTTCAGCAACTCTGGTTCTGGTCCATCTCTCTGGCCCATTCAGAACATTCTGTCATAAAAAGCTAGTTCAGATTTCACCTCTATCCCTAATATGGACTCTTTGGACATGAAAAAGAATTTATCTAGATAAAGTATCCCACTGCCGTAAGGACACCAGGAACTACTTGTCTTTAACATCTAGGAGCTTCCTACCTGTCCTCAGATCTCCACGGCGCTTTATACCCAAGTTTTGCCCAGCTAACACATTGAGTGTGACCAAAACATTCTCTGATTTAAAAATTACAAACTTGGCATAGTGTTGCATGCCTGTAATCTCAGCATTTGGGAGACTAAGGCAGGAGGATTATAAATTCAAGGCTAGCCTGGGCAATTTATCAACTTTTATCAGTCTCAGAAGGGTTAGGGATATAGCTATAGCTCAGTGGAAAGGCCCCTGTGTTGAATCCTCAGTACCAAAACAAAAAAAAAACCCAGCATGTCTAAAAGGACCTTCCCAGAGCAGTCACGCATTTCTGTGGACCTCCAAGCTTTCTGCATGGTACTCTGAGAGGCTCCCAGACTCAGCAACAAGAATTTCACAAACGTGGGGTGACTAGGACAGGAAGTGTTGAAAGATGGAACTGAAACTACAACTGTGAGCACAGCAGGGTGTCACCCATCGTGGGACAGAAGCCTCTGCCCACAGGGCCCCTGCCTTCTCAGCCATGGGCGTCTGTCCCCTCAGGACCCACCCTGGGTGACCCCACTGTCCCTCCTTTGCTATCGCACTCACTCTCGAGGCCCCGACCAGCTCTGCCATCAGGTATCTCCAGGCCTACATTGCTCTTCCCGCCCAGCTCCACATTCTGAAATGTTTAACACTCTCTGGCGCTGATGCAATCTGCGCACCACCTTCCCCAAACAACTCCTCCCCACTCATTCCACACTGCAGGGAGGAGCCCCTCTTCCCAAGGATCCATTATCAAGTTCAAAACATCCCTGTTGCTTGGCACACAATGCACACTGTGTCACCAAAGACAATAATACATACTGACTAAGGGAATGTTTGCTGCGTGTGCCCTCCAAAAGCAAACTGGAATGTACATTGGGGTGTGTGTGTGTGTGTGTGTGTGTGCACAGTCAGTACAGTGCAACAATCAAACAGGGCTTCAGAGCCTGATACACCCAATAGGTTCTGTGATCTTATGGAAGTTAAACTCTGAGTAACTGATACGTTTTAAAGTATAAAATAGACTTTCAGCTGGGTCTAGCAGCACCTATCTATAATCTCAGCACTCAGCAAGTGGAGGCAGAAGGATCCCCACGCATTTGAGGCCTGCCTGGGCTACCTAGTGAATTAAAGACCAGCCAGAACTCCACAAGACCTTTCAAAATAAATAAATCCGAAAGTAAAAATTAAAAAACAAAACAGTCTTTGAGTACCTTTTCCATGGAGGATTTACAATAAGGATTAAGTAAGACAAGGCATGTAAAGGACTTGTACTTTCCCTACACAGGAGATACATCATCTGCAGTGACCATCTTTCCATGAAAGGGGTGCCATGTTTAATAGTTTTGCTTAGTTCCATAAAAAGGCTTCAGTCAAGCTCCTGGGCAGCAGATCACACGGCCCCAGGGCATCTCCCCAGGAGCCTCTGAGATCAGCTGGGGGCCAGCCCACACCATGCCCTTCCCTGCCAGAGGCGCCCTTTGCTCTCTAGGTTTCCAGCAGCCCAGGCTATCTCCTCAGGGCCCCTCAGTCAGATTCCTGGACCAGCAGTGTGCAGGCACTCGGTTCCAGCTGCCACCTTCCTGGTGATCTCTGCCTTCACCTGAGGGCTTTCACTCATTCATTCGTTCTTTCTTTCTCTTCTCTCCCTCTCCCTTTCTCTCTCTCTTTCCCTCTGTATTGGGTTCAACACTGACATTGAATCCAAGACCTCATGCATGCCAGGTGAGTTCTCTTATCATTGAGCTGCATTCCCATCCTCTGTCCAAGACAGCTAATTGCACTGCTGCTCACCAATTTGACCCCAGACTTTCAAATTAAATGGATCAACACAGACATTCTACAGATGAGTCAGAAGTGAATGCCCTGATCTTTTGGGGATGGCCTCCCCAGTGGGAGTCTCAGCATGAGGTGTCCTTTGGGACCCACTGCCCCAGGTCAGTAAATCTCTTTAAGGCCCACAAGATAGTACTTTTAAAGACCTGTGACATTTCTTGAAAGGGACTTGTCAAGGCCTGTAGTCATACCTTATATTTATCATCACTGTAAGTACCAGGCAGCCTAGAGGTGGCTGTTTATTTTCCCTGTGCTTCTCGTAGCTATGGGAGGGGAGCTCTGGGCCAAGGCGTAATTACAAGGCGGCCCTCCTTCACACCAGCAGGGATCTGGAAAACTTCCGGCGCTGGTGGCTCCCAGCCACCACTGTAAGTCTCAAGCCTCAGAACATGTTTATAAACCAGAGCTTCACAACAGGAGGTGTTCTGAGCCTGTCCTGCCTCTCATTCAAGAAAGGAACAGGGTGGGTCTTCCTACTTCACCCCTGAATTACACTGTGTCCAGGTTCAGGCTGTAAACAAGTGGCTGCAGCTAAGTAAAATGCTGTTCACCAGCTGTGCCACCCTCCTGTCGCTGAATGTTAATTAATAAATAAAAACCACTGGCTTGGAATTTAAGCAGTTTGGAGGCATTTTCTGTGGTTTTTTTGGTTTGTTTTGCGGTTTTGGGGGGTTTTTTTGTGCTAGGGATTGAACACAGGCCTTCATACTGAGCTACAACCGCAGTCATTTTTATTTGTACACTTTATTTTGAGACAGGGACTCACTAAGTTACTTAGACTGGGCTTGATCTCACCCATCCTCCTGCTTTAGCCTCCCAGAATGCTGGAATCACAGGCACACACCACCACAGGGGCTGGGGCTTAAGTGGTTTTTTAAAAGCTTTTCCGAGAGAACCAGAAAGCACTTCAATGCCCAGTGCAGAGTGGGCCAATTTCTATGATTAAAAAGTGTGAACGCTGCTTTCTAGATTCAGTTAAGTCTTATGTTTTTGAACAGATAGGCTCCAAAGGGAGGAAAAAAGCTATGAATAAGTTTAATTTTTACAAACAATTTGTTAAATGTAGTGGATGTTTATCTAAAAGATTCCTTTTAGGGCCGGGGAGGTGACTCAGTGGAATAAGCGCTTCCCTGGCAAGTGCAAGGGCCTAAATTCAATCCCCGGTTCCACCAAAAAAAAAAAAGATTCCTTTTAGCAACTGAAAAAGAAAACAGACCCCCAATATTCAACTACCAAAATAAAAAATGGGCACCTAAGATGAATATGCACTTTTCAGATGAAGAAATACAAACAGCAAATAAGTATATGAAAAAATGTTGAACATCTTTGGTCATTCCAGAAACACACATTAAGACAACACTGAGATTGTATCTCACGCTGGAAAGAACGGCTATCATCAAGAAATCCATCAATAACCAATGCTGGACAGGCTGTGGAGAAAACGGAACCTTTCTCCAATGTTGGTGGGAGTGCAGACCGCTGCGACCACTATGTAAATCAGTATGGAGTTTCCTCAAAAACCTAGGACCAGAGGTCCCATTTGACCCAGCTATTCTCCTGGGTATCTTGCCAGCACAATTAAAAACAACATACCACAGCAATATACATGCAACCACGTTTACAGCTGTGCAATTTGTCATAGCTAAATCTTGGTCACAACCCAAATGCCCATCAACCAAGGAATGGATAAAAAAAGATGCAGTATTTTTATATAATGGAGTACTACTCAGCAATAAAGAATAAACTTTAGACTTTTATAGGTAAATGGATGCAACTCGAAGCCATACTCATAAGTGAGATATATTAGACTTGCAAATGTAAACATCACATCGTCTCTGTAGTGTGAGTGGTGAAAGAATAGATAAGCATCAAAATGTACAATAGATATTGGGAAATGGGAAGAAACTGTTCAAAAGGAAATAGAAACTAGGTTGGGGGAAAGGAGAAAAGATAGAAGGGAAAAGAAAAAAATATATACTACTAATTTCTACTAGTTCATAGAAAAGGTTTGTACTTATATTGTTAAAATTATTTGTTCCTGTACTCTGAAGATAATAATATGCAATGTATTAACCATTGTTACCCTCCTCGATTTAAATTTTTGTATCATTGTTTTTTCTCTTAAAAAAGGAAAAGATTCTTTTAGCAATTTTTTGGCAAATTTATTCATAGGGGGAAATGCAACATTCCTATATCAGATTTTCTTAATAAAACATTACCCTGCCCAGGGGAAGGAGAGACACCAGACCAGCACCGGGCGGTGGCGATCAGGACCAGGGCGTTTCCAACCGCTTGGCCTGAGCCTGAAGGGAGGGCGCGCTGGGGCTTGACCCGCCGGAGCCCACATCCCTGCGCTGGCTCTGCTCCCGGCGCCTCAGAACCACGCGTCCAACCCCACGGGCTTCACGCTCGGGAGGGACAGAAACTAAGCCCCACCATCTGAGACGCGGACACCATCCGAGCGGCCACGCGGACCGCCGGCCGGGACCAAGACTCCGCCCCTTCTTCTCGGTGTGTTACAGAGGGCTCCCCCGGGCTCCTCACAGCCCACGAAGTCGGACTCTGAGCTGTCCATCTGCCGTCCACACCAGCGGCGCACGAAAGCGCCCCGGACACGGCGGCAGCCTGTCTCCTCTCCCCGGGTTGCGCACCCCGCAGCCCGCCGGCCCGTGGACCTTACCATCTCCTTGCGCAGCAGCGCCAGCGCCGCGTCCAGGTTAGGGGGCTTGGAGCGCGGCCCCGCCGCCCGCGCCCCGCCGCCGGCCGCGCCCCCGCGGCTCAACTCCTCCTGGATGCGCGACTTCTGGGCGTAGAGCCGCTCCAGGTGCCGCCAGCCGCCCGCCGCGCCTCCCGCCGCCGAGTGCAGCAGTCCGCTCAGGCTTTTGGGCAGCGGCGGCAGCCCGTCCACCCGCAGACCGCGAACCCCGAGCCCGCTCATCGCGCGGCAGAGGACGCCAGCAGCCCGCCGGCCCGCCAGCCCGCGGTGGCCCGTGTCACCGCTTCCGCTCCGCCCCCCGCGGCTCCGCCCCGTGCCGGGCACGCCCCCGGACTCCACGCCCCTCAGGTCTGAGCCCGGGTGGGCACGCCCCCTCTCGGGGCTCCGCCCCCCGCCTCCTTTGACCCTGCAGGGTCCAGTACCCCTAAAGCCCAGTGTCCCAGCCAACCTCTAGCCAGGCCCAGCCCTCTGCATCCCGCCCTGGCGCTCCCGCTCGCCTCCAGCCTGGCCCCATCTCCCTCACCACCACCAACTCTGCCCGGCTCCTAATACCCGCCCCACCCCCGCGCGCCCACCCGCCCGCCGTAACCCGCCTGGCTCTGCTGCATACCACCGTTCCCCAAAGCTGCAAGTAACTCCCGTGGGGGCGAGAGCTCCAGGCTGCTGGCATCGGGTACGAAAGGAGAGCAAGGGTCAAGTCCGAGGGACGCTGGGGAGGGATAGGGACTGGTCCCGCTGGCTTCAGTAAAAAGCAGTGTCCCCAGGCCAGCCGCAGTGCGAAAGACCCCGAGTCCTCTGGGGAACGCCAAAGGAGCAAAAGACAGTCTCTCGGAGCATGAAAGTGCTTCTAAATCGACTTGGGAAAATAGAGGAAGAGATTAAATCTCGCAAACTGGGAGGTGGGGTGGAAGGCTGAGAACGCCAGGCAACTGCATTTGGCTGGGAGGCTGGCTTCCCCTCATGGGGTGGGAGGTATAGGGAGAGTCTCCATGCAGCGCTGAGAGTGATGTCTTCAAGGCCCTTGACTGTTGAGTTTAATTATAAAGGGACTTAATAGGTCCAAATGCATTGAATAGGTAGGTGTATAATTATACTGGTAAAGGGTTCTGAGTGATTCAGACACCCAACATAAAGCTGCCCTCTAGTTTGGGGGCTTTCTTACCTTTAATTACCACTGTTGAGCCACCTCTGAAACACTAGGTGAAACTGGCTGATGTCCCTCCTGGACCCAAGGGGCAGCAGAGACTGGTCGAGAAGCGGGGAGGCTTGCAGTAGTTACCTAAGGTCAGATATCCATTCGTTCACCTGTTGCACCACTGGGTGTCTTCGCAGAGTTGCCAGTCGGCCTGTGGGGGGAGGGGAGGATGGGAAGCTACCTGACTGGCTTCACACTCCAAGTGGATTCCTTTCATTTTGTCTGTCGCCTTGCTATCTCTTACGCAGTACCAAGCTGACCTCACTCAAACTGGATGATGGGAGGGTTGACTCTGTGATGGTACAATAAGAAGTCATTTCAAAGCATTGAGGTGCTGAAATCGCCTGAGAATGTCCTTCAGAGGATGAGGGTGCAGAAAGACGGGATTAGGTCCAGCTGGACAGCAGAGCAAGGTCCCTGATGTCAGAACAGAAGGCTGACCTCACAATTTTATTTTTTAAACTTAAAATTTTTTTTGAGGTAGGTTCTCACTATGTAGTTCAGGCTGGCCTTGAGCTTGCTATATGCCCTACACTAGCCTCAAACTTCAACCCTACTGCTATTATAAGACAAGGTCTGAGGAGCTCCCTCAAGAAGGACCTGGAGGCCTCAAGTCACCCCTCAACTCATAGGGTAGGTTGTAGATTTTCTGATTCTGCCACAGACAAAGAATTTTCAAGACACGTCAGTGAAAGGCATAAAAAGGGTTTATTAGGCACAATTTCAAAAGTACACAGTGCAAACGCTCAAGAGAGGCACACTGGTCAGGTCAGGTTGTTGTCTTCAAGATGGGTGACCTAGTGAGGTTAAGATTGATAGCCCAAATCGTTTGATATTAACAATAAGCTTTTCTTCTGGATGGTTAACAACCTAAGTTTGCAGACCAAATTAGAGAAAAAGGAAGGATACAAGGAAAGCCAACATTTTGGCCCTAACCTTCTAAGGTCAATTAAGACTCAGGACATATGAGAACTTGTACTGTAACGTCATGTACCTCGGTAGTGTCCCAAATTTTCTGATCAAGAAGATTATGGGGCCAAAGAGGAAAGTGATCGATGACGTAGAGTGTGCCTAAGGAGAGTCACATGGGGAGAAGACACTCTCTCAGGCTTTCACAGAGAGCACATTGGCCAAGCAATGGCCGTGACTCATCCACATGGCTGCACTGATGAAGGTTCTACAATCTGAGGTACAGGATCTCAGGACAAATCCTGAGGGCATTTCACTGACCTTCTCAGACCAAAAAGCTACAACTCTTGTTGAATAGGTCCTGCTTTACCTTGGTCTTAACCATCCAGTAGAAAAGTATGAAGTCGAAATATAAGAAATAAAGCCATGCTGTTGGGTTGAGCTGTGGGGGACTCAGGTCAATAATTTCTGACATTGCCAGTTAAATATAAGACCCAATGCTATTATGGGCTACTGGACTCTTTTAGAATATTTTGCTGAGTTTACACACCTATAATATTCAATAACGGAACTTAGAAAAAAATGGGGTATACCGATGAATGTCCATTTTGTATCTGTGTATTCAAAGAGGTTGGGATAGATATATAGTTGCATTCTCTTAATGAATAGAATGATTTGTTCTAATGGTGTTTGTAAATGGGATCACAAGTCCGCATCTTGTACAGCAATTAACCACTAAGAAGAATATATGCAGTGTATTATTTGTTGAAACTGTCCTTCCGATATGATTTGAAACTGTCTCATTGCTCTCTGTTTGTCAATAAAACTTTGAAAAAAAATAAAATAAAATAAAATAAAAATAAAAATAAAAAAAAAAAAGATGGGTGACCTAGAATGTGTGCTCCTTCTGTGTGTTAAGTTGCCTGTCTGGTGGGCTGGGACTATGTTAGCAGGCAAACCCTGTACTGTATGTGTGTTTGAAGCTGAGATACGCTGCCTGCTCCAGGGGCAGGAAGGGTAATTTACAGGTGGAAAAACAAGGCCCAGAGCCCAATTTACAGGCTACTTGTGTCCTTAAGACCCTTAGGAATTTGGGGAGGAATAAGTTTCCCGAGAAAGCTTCAGTTTTGTTTTGTTTTTTTAATGTAGTTAGTACAGGGTCTACAGAGTCTACAGGTCTCACTGCTTAGATTGGACTCAGTGACTTTCTAGTTTTCAGCCTCCCAAGCTCTGGGATTACAGGCAAGCACCACCATGCCCAGCCTCAAGTCACTACCTCAGCACACCCTGGGAGTTGGGCCAGCCCTGCATGCTGGAGATCGAACCCGGACCGCTGCGCTCTGCCTAAGCAGTTGCCTTAGTCCACTGAGCTATCTGGCAAGCCCTATGAAGGTGCAGTTTTTATTTATTTATTTATTTATTTTTTTTTAAGGTGCAGTTTTTTAAAAAGTACAATTTGAGTCAAGCATGGTGACCCACACCTGTAATCCCAACTCTCAGGAGGCTGAGGCAGAAGGATCACTTTGAGTTAGAAACCAGCCTGGTCTCCACAGTGAGTTCAAGGCTAACCTGGACTGCATAGGGAAGCCCTATCTTAAAAAACAAAAACAAAAAAGTACAGTTTGAAACTTAACGATATTCCTTGTCTCCTTCTCACCTATCTTTATTTTCTTTTCTGTCCTACCTCAATACCTCAGCTTCCTGAATGCTAGCATTGGAGGTATGCAGCAGCACACTGAGCTAACCTGATAGTTTTAAAGATAGGCAGTGCATTCCAGTATGTACTCAGCAAGTTGAAGATGTTGAAATCCATATCAACGTAGAACATCTCAAGCTGAATAGAGATTTAGATAGAATTTGTGTGGTGCTGCTTAAGACTATTTGTGTAAAGCAGGTGTACTATAGCCCACTGACATTTTGGTATCCTTAAGGATTGTCAGTGCCTGCTTTTGTTTATTTATTTTGTTATGCTGGGACCAAACTCAAGGCCTTACACCTGCTGGACCAGTGCTTTGTCACTGAGCTATATCCAAGGCCAACGGCTGCTTTTATTGGTTTATTTAATTTTTTGACAGAGTCTCACTGTGTAACCCAGACTGGCCTCAGACTCCCAGCAATCTTCCTGCTTCAGCCTCCTGAGTGCTGGGGTTACAGGCTTGTGCCATGGTGTCTGGCTCTGTGACTACTTTTATAAAGGAAGGAGAGTGGTGAATTATCACATCAGGAAAACAGAATGAGCACAAATAAACAACCCAATGCTGCACCTCAGGCTTCTAGAAAAAGAAGAGCAAGTCAAACCCAAAGCCCAAAGAAGAGAGGAAATTATAAAGATCAGGGCAGAAATTAATGCAGTAGAGACTAAGAAAACAATACAAAGAAGGGCCAGCCAAATAGCTCAGCAGATTAAAGTGACTGCTTAGGCAGACACAGCGGCTTAGGGTTCAATCCCTGGAGTGTCATGTTGGCCCCACCTGCGGGGTGTGCTGAGATGGCAACTGAGACTGGGCGTGGTGACTCACACTTGTAATCCCAGCTCTTTGGAGGCTGAACACAGGCAAATCACTATGAGAGTCCGATCTATGTAGTGAGACCCTGTAGAACCTGTACTAAAATAAAAAAAATAAAAATAAAAAAAATAAAAAAAAAACAAAAAACAGAAGAGTTGGTTCTTTGATATCTTAATTCATTTTACTTTCCCTTCCCCTCTTCTCCTAAACAACAAAATTTTTTTGCCCAAAACTGTAGGGACAGGGCATCCCCATATCAAGCACCAGTAGATGTAATGCGTGGTGAGGGCCTCTTCCTCCTGGTTGGCATCTTCTCTATGTCCTCACCTTGCAACTGAGCTGGGCCTAAGGGTCCTTGAGGCTGAAATAAGGAACTTAACTCACCCTTTCGAAGGAGGCTCACTGACTCCTATGGAGGAAAAAGCATTTTTATCTATTTGAATCTTTTATTGATTGATTCATTCATTCATTCATTCATTTATTTGGTACAGGGTCTCACTATGTGACTCGAACTCCTAGTGAGCTTCCTGTCTCAGCCTCTCCCGTACTGGGATTTCAGGTGTGCATCACCAGACCTGGTACTGGTGGCTAGCTGGGCGCTGGGCCAGCATGCACACAGTACAAGAGATCAAACCGGGGTCCTTCCGCTTTCCAG